CTCCTCCTCCTCCTCCTCCTCCTCCTCTTCGGTCCTCCCTTTCTCGCCACGTGGCGCCCCAGCACCGTCCCCCCAATCAAGACGCTGTCCTCCCTCTCCTCCTCTTCCACCTCCCTCTCCTCCACGTGTCGTCAAAGTGACGCAGCGAATCAGCGAAGGAAAAAAAAACAAAAAAAAACAAAAAAATCTTGTTCTCCTCTCCTCCTCCTCCTACTCTGCTGCTCCTCCTCCTCCTCCTACTCTGCTCCTCCTCCTCCTCCTCCTACTCTGCTCCTCCTCCTCCTCCTCATCCTCGACCACCTTCCGTTTCGAACCCTCCTCCTCCTCCTCCTTCTTTGGTCCTCCCCCTCCTCTTCTCCGTTGAACTTCTCCCTTTGTAGCCACGTGGCGAACCCTTCTCCTCCTCCTCCACCTACCTCCCCCTCCTCTTCTCCATTGAACTTCTCCGTTTGTAGCCACGTGGCCAACCCTTCTCCTCCTCCTCCACCTACCTTCAAGATCCCCCCCTCCTCCTCCTCCTCCTCCCTCTCCTCCACGTGGCGTCAAAGTGACGCAGCGATTCAGCGAACGGAAAAAATAAAAGAAAAGAAAAAACTACTCCTCATCCTACGCTGCTCCTCCTCCTCATCCTCGAAGACAAACAACATCCATTGGAGGTATGTAGTATTGTGGTCTCCCTCCCCCCTTTCTATAACTGTCGTCATTCTCCTTTCAGCCGAAGACGAAGAAGAAAGAAAGGAGGAGGGAGAAGGAAGGGGGAGGGAGGAGACATGGTTGACGAGGGAGGAGGGGCTCACCTTCTCACGATGCAGACGACGTCGAGGAGGAGCGATGGCGAAGCAGCATGCAGCGACGACGACGAGGCGCGAAGGCAGCGGCGACGACGAGGCGCGAAGGCAGCACCGACGTCCAAGCACGGAGGCAGCACCGACGTCCAAGCATGGAGGCAACACCGACGTCCACGCATGGAGGCAGCACCGACGTCCAGGGTCCAGGGACGGAGGCAACGACGACGAGGTGGAACCCTGCTCGGAGGACGAGAGGGGGAAGCGCACATTCGAATTCGAATCCAGTTCAAATTCAAATCCCGATCTCACGTAAGCCGTTGATCTTCACTTATCAATGACGGATCTTCGAGGCCGAAAAAAAAAAGGGCCTACTGGGCCCCAACTTTTTTCTCCGCCGCCGCTCTACTGTCCACTACAGCCTCGGTCTCCCAGGGGCTTTACCGGGGGAAAAAAAAAACGCCCTCTATTTTGTGCAAGGGGGCCCGGGGTTTCGACCGGGCGGGCCGCCCGGCCGGGCGTTCCGGGCGTGTGCCGGGCGAGGGAGGGGGTGGCCGGGCCGCCCGGCTGGTAGCCCAGTTTAACATCAAGTGTACTGGTGGTTTAAACAAACTTGTAAAAGAGTTGTTGAAAAAACGAGACACTGTTACGACATTCCCAACTTGAGAAGCCATAAATTTGCAAGAGTAACTGAGGAGAGTTAATTTTTCGGTGCCCACTGACCGCAAGCAAAATTTCGAAAGACGATTTTATAAAATTCGGTAGTAGATTCCTTAACTCTTTGAGAAAATTTCCTCGAAGTAGGTCGATGGAGCACACAACGTTTCATTTTAACAGATGCTCCTCCCATGATTAGTAACAGTAAATCAAGTTTCTGGTTACCTTTTTTTTTTTTTTTTTTTTTAACCCCGCTTATAACTTATGAAATTATTTGTTAGGATTTTTTCAATGCTCTTTCACGATTTCAAAGATGAGAGTATGGTTTGGTTAATAGGGGCAGGGCTCTATGGTAGTGGAAAAAGCAGGATAACCTAGCGGTCCCTTGTTTTTTTTTTCATACATTGTATTTGCCTTGGGCACTAAGCCATGATAATAACTAATTTTATATATTAAATTTAATTAAATTATTTATTTAATTATCCCCAACCAACATAGCCACCAAAACGGGGATGTCATGACACCCCACCGACAAAATGTCCTTACAAATAACATTGTTTATAAATATTTTGTAAAATAAGTTTCGCCGAATCTCCTATGCTGATTTGTTTTTTCCGTCGATTACAGACACATTAAGCCTTGTTGAAGGCTGCAGGACTTGATAGTTTTAAACTCAAACAATCAATTTCAACCTCCTAAATAGAGCACTACAACAAATAAATACGAGATTAATAAAATAAAATGGCAGGAGCCCAACTATCTCATGAGATTTCGAGATAGCTGGAAAAAAAAAAAAAAACAATAAAATGGGGTAGTTAAAGAAACTGCCCCACACTAAGGCTGTGGCTGTGGTGCGGCCACAGTTAACCCTGGATCTTGACCAGATGAAGGGCTCACTGTGAGCCCGCGATTTTGCCTGGGGGCTGGAGTGACGTCCAACCCTTCTCGGCCACTATAAAATAGGCAACTGTCCCCAACTGCCACGCAAAAGCACTCGTGTTGTCAATTGTATGACGTGCACACTTGAGTGTTGTTGAGGAGCTGAGGTGCTGCCTGAGGCAACAAGGAGGAGACTGGAGGTCTGCAGAGGAGCGAGAGGAGCAGGGTAGCCATAGTCAAGGCAGGGAACACTCCGTTCCCCTCCCCTCTGGCTGGTGCTAGTCCCACTGGACTGATCCAGGGACACTGCAGGGCTACGGCAGTGCGACGCAGTGGAATTTGGGCCTGGGGCCCAAATTTTACTAATTTTGGCCTGCCATTTTTCCACTATAGTAGGGAAGTGCTGCCAAAATTTTACAGCGGCGAGAAGGCGGCGACACTGATTTTTACGACGGTAGTGCAAAAGTGTTGCCGAATTTTTGTGGCGGCAACACTGGTTTTACGATGGTAGTGGGAAAGTGTTGCCGAATTTTTGCAGCGGCAAGACTGGTTTTACGGTGGTAGTGCGGAAGTGTTGCCGAATTTTTGCGGTGGCGATACAGGTTTTACGACGGTGGTGCGGAAGCGCTGCCAAACTTTTGCGGCGGCGGTTCTGGTGAGGAAACGCTGCCAAATTTTTGCAGCGGTGGTTTTGGTTTTAACGGCAGACGTGCGGAAGCGCTGCTAAATTTTTTTTGGCGACGACATTGGTTTTACGGCGGTGCCAACAATATTTCTGCACCGAGCGGCGACTGAACCTTGGTGCAGGGAAGGTGCCACTGAAGTGGTAGTATATTTTGAAGTGGCGTGAGCATAGCACCACAGTAACAAAGTGGCGCAGAAGGTAAGTTGGCACCACAATAACACAGTGGCGCAGAAGGTGAGTGACGGTAACGTGAAGGCGCCGTCGGACTGTGGGGAAGTAGTTATTGGACGAGTGTCGCGACAAACAATCATTTTAAGGAGTGATGTAGATCACTTTGCTGACGACTGAGGGCGACTGCCTTCAAGTCAGAAGGGGCGTAATTCTATACGGTCTTCTTGAGTGTGTCGTTCAAACTTCACTCAAGGTCAGTTTAATAGTCAGTTTGACTCAGGGTCTTTCACGCCTGTGTGAACCCACACTTTGTTTGACCTTGGTCATTGAATGTTTTTTTAAAGGGTAGACAGAATGTGTGTCTGCGCGTGTGAATGTAAGTCTGTCGTGAGTCTGGGTCTGCATTGTTTTTTTTTTACTGGTCGTTTGATTGGACTGCAATTGTGATTGATTAAAACGAGAGTGGGTTTTGACCGTGAAGCGGCACATGAATGGTTGCTCTCGCATCACCACACTTGCATGCATATGTCAAACTGAGAAAGAAAAAAGACGATGAAAGAAAAAGCGATAACGAAGAAAAGAAAAACCTGAATGGACATGGACTTTTTCCTAAGGTCACCCGTTCTTTCCCGAATGACCTCTCTATCTATGCCCATCTGTCTGAATGGTTTTCTTTTCTGTGATCTTTCTTTCCTTCGTCTTAGTTGTCATGACGTCAGGCGACAAGAGGTCGTTGACTCACCTTCATAGATTCCTTTCCTTTTCCTATGAGGTATTTGAGGCGGGGCTTCGTTGCCTTAGGGGCCGACCCTGTTATCAACTCGGAGTGGACCGCTTTGAGGGGGGGGTACCATGCTGTTGTGGTGGAGTCAGCCCGACTTTTGAGATCCGAGGTTCTCTCGGGTGAGGACGAGGGGTACCCCAGACCACCTCCTACGGGAGGGACAAGTGCATATTCACGAAAGACCTCTAGAATTTCTTAGCTAGTTTAAGCAAAGTGCAGTTAGGCACTCTTGTCGTGGATGATCGTGCCATAAGAAGCACGAGCCGTGGGAACACGGATGTCTGAATAATACTCAGTGGCAAAAATTTTAATTTAATCACTCTCGTTTTTCTTATCACATGGCTGCAAGGACGACAGTCTGTCACCTTTTCCACAATCGTGACACAGCGGCAGAATGTACCGAGTCCCCAGAACGCAATGGAGAAAGATTAGTGAGAGTAGGCCGAGTCGTCTCTAATCCATATGAATTATACTATGAAGAGGATATTTCACGATTCTGGGGTGGCAGTGTGCGTAATACTCCTAGACGACTCATTTTTAGGTCAAGAACTGAATTGGACATTCTTCACTATGAATTTGCGCCGCCAGTGCCCGAACGTGGCTTCGCCAACATGAACTAAGTGGTGATACAACCGTACAAGATTAACCCACGAATGGACGAAATTCCCGAGATAAGGCTGACGTTCGTTCGTTCCGTACTTTAGATGAACGAATGACAGGGTTCATTCTTTGGCATATATCATATGAGGCGAGTACGGGCGAATAAGTTCATCATTCTACGTGTTGAACCATTCTCTGAGTATGCGTGGCAGGATGAGGAGGATGAACTCATAGAATGCTTACGTGACTAATGCGGTTTGTTCTGATACGCAGATGCCTGGAGCTCGACGAGACCTGACAATCCCGAGGTACCTGCTGATTTTGATACGCACGAGGACGATCTCATCATAGGAGCGGAGCAACTTTTATGAGTTCAAGATGGTTCTCCCACAAAGTGGATCGGCTTCATCGGCCTACTCCGAAATGGCGAGGGATTCCTCGCTAATACTCGCGCGGATTTTCGGACGAATACGGCTCAAAATCCTGACGATTTTTATGGATATACCCTGTATTTTCACCGTGCGAGTAACCTCCAATGCCTCTCTCGAGTCATTGTGACCATTAGGATTACCTCGTCCGGTAGATGCTTTGGCGTCGTTCGGATCTAGGACATAGAGACCCGACACTTATTTGGACTTAGTCCGCCTCTGCGAGTCATAGTATGGAGGCTAACCTCACGAATGACCTCTCTCTATGACACTCGATTTATTAGAGTCATGCGAGGTGGACGGAGGGTTGCCCTGATATTCGATGACAATGAGTTTGCACGACTGGATTCATTGGAGACTCAGGTGCGTGAAGGACGACAGATCTACCTGGGATAGACACCGTCTTCTGATATCCTACTTGGATCTCAGATAACACCTTGTATAGACTTGTCTTGTCAAGGAAGTCATATGATACATGACTTCACGGGGTAATCTTAAAACACAAAACAAAAACACTTTATGTAGATAGGACCGCCGGATGGATAGTATTCGGACTACCCCGATGATTTCACTATCATGCTTTGACATTGAGGGGTAAATACATAAGTAAGGATAAGATAACAAAGAAAGTTTATCGGTTCAAAGTCATTTTTTCATATAAAGATAAATAAGGAGAAGATTGAGAGACATCTTTCAAGATAATCCGAAGCATGATCCTGAAAAACAGACACAAAAAGGGTCTGATTATAAACTCCAACTTACAAGATTAAACGAACTCTTTCTACGTAAATCCTATGTTTTTTTTTTATAGATATATCAACGACGAGAAGAAATTTCATTAGGATGATTTTTTCATTTGACCAAACCTATTATATTACAGAGTTGTGCTATGATTGTTGGGGTGATTGACTGAAAGAATTACTTTATATGTATTGCTTTGAGTGATTTTGCTTGAATAAGTTTTACATATATAAGCATCGTATATATGAGACTAGGGGTGAATTATGGTTTTACGCTTAATTGAGACTGCCCTAGTCGACAGGCGTACGTTTTATGTTTAGGAGATCAGCGTCCTAAGTGACGAATGACGTCTGAGATCAACATGCGTTTTAATCGCGTGTGCCTATACTACAACGAGCGAGCAAACGCCCTCAACTGACTCACCTCTGCGATTGCATGTAAAAACTTTCGCATGTGGGTAAGTAGCTTAGTAGGGATACGCCCCTAAGGGTGGTAACAACCCCTTAGGGAAGGAAAGTTTATGGCCTACGGGAACCTATCTTGTCGTAGGGGACCGCGAGATGTACAGCTCACGCACCCGGCTAGAGCGGCAAAGGGACGACGCCACCATGACCGTCTCGGCAGTTCGCGGGATTTTTTTTGCCTCGTTCCCAAGTTGTCTCTTGATTTTGTTTCATTAAAACTCCTGCGTGACATGGCCGGGAGGGCTCCCGCCTCTTCCCGAGAAAAGGCGGGGGCCGATGCGCTCCACAACGGCTCGCATGGTGCACCCAACTTTCTCACCCAAAGCCTCAATCCTATCATTTGCAAAAACAAGGGAGAGAGAGATGGCCTTATCATCAGGGACCAGTGCGTTGACGTGTGAGCAAGTGCGTCTGTGTGTGTGAGAGAGAGGGAGAGAGAGACCAACGCGCTATCGGTGCGAATGCCCTTACGTGTATAGCGAATATGACAACACACACATACTCGTGCGCCAACGCGTGCAGGTCTCTGTTGGCAACTCTCTCTCTCTCTCTCACACACACACACTCACACAGACTTGCTCACGCGTCAACGCACTGGTCCCTGCTGGTACTAGGGCTCTCTCTCTCACTCCCTCTCTCTCTCTCTTTCACACACCCACCTACACATGCAAGCGCCTGATGGCACCTCTCTCCCTCTCACACACACACACACACACACTTGCTCACGGGCCAACACACGCTGGTCCCTGCTGGTAGGGCTCTCTCTCTCTCTCTCTCTCTCTCTCTCTCTCTCTCTCTCTCTCTCTCTCTCTCTCTCTCTCTCTCTCTCTCTGCGCACATCCTGCTTTTGAACGTGGACGATGAAACCTTCAGCCTCGCCACACCTATCTCGAAAACCGGTTTCCTTTGGGGAGCTCTTGAACGCACATGTTCGAGAAAACCGATTCGAGAGTGGTCGTCGCCGCATTGCGCTCTCGAAAGAGGCGCTCTCCATTGTGTCAGAAGAGACCCGGGATTTTTTCTGAGTTTTTGCGAGTGCAGTGTGGCGATACCAGATTCTCTTGAATGCAACGGGGTGGTCGAAAACCGCATTCGCGGTTGAGGAGTGCTCTTAAAACGAACAGGAGAAGTGAGAGGCTGCAGACGGTTGTCGGTCGAGGTGCACTCTCAATTTTTGGGCTGAAATCGGGTGCACCTCGGACCGCTCTCCAAAAGGGCCTCTTTGCAGGAGGCACTCCTGAAAAGTTTGAGAGGGCTCTCGCCAACCGCATTCTGACCGCTCTCCAACTTTTTTCGGACACTGGGTTTGGAGAGTAGGTGTGGCGATGCTTCCTCTCTTGAAAACCCCGTTTTCTGGATAGGTGTGGCGAGGCCCCTTGTTCATCACTTACGCACATACAAAGTACGGGCTGCACACCCGTGCCCTCACCGTAAGTCAACATGAAATGCAAGGGCTCTCTCTCTCTCTCTCTCTCTCTCTCTCTCTCTCTCTCTCTCTCTCTCTCTCTCTCTCTCTCTCTCTCTCTCTCTCCACACACATCTTGCTTTTGAACCTGGACGATAAAACCTTGTTCATCACTTAAGCGCGCGGTAAGTCAACATGAAACGCAACCCTGACGGTCTGCGTTCCCTGCACCCCCGCCCTTAGCTAATCCAAACCCTCGCTTTCCACTGACCGAAAATGTATTTCAGCAACTCCTCAGGCCAGAACGTTTTGGGGTGGAGCGAGACCCTATGACAAGTGCTGACCGAGAGTCTTGTTGTGGAGTATCTCAGGCCATACGCACTCACAGAGAACTGCAGTGAATGTACCGGACCGTTTTCACGGCCACCTTTTGATGCACCTGGAGGGCAATCACGTCCACTGATAAGTTGGGAAAGTCCTCTGAGTTCTTTTTTCTTTCTTCTTTTTATTTTGAATTTGGACCTTTTCTCGATTTATGCGTGTCATCCCTTGCGCAGGGGCTATGGCTTGGACCCCACTGCTCAGCGTTTGGAAAACTTGTTCGGCCACGAAAAACGGCCAACGCCATCTGGAAAACCATTTCCAGAAAAAATCGAGACCCCACCTCCACGGCCTTGCCGGCCTCTTGGAAAATGACTTCCATTCCCGAAAAGGAAATATGGTTAGGTCGCCTCCCGAAATGGAAAGTGTGGTGAACCAAGTGGTCCAGCTTCTTGAACCAGCGGCAGAAGTGCGGGACGTCGTGGTCGCACCGCGACTGACATGCCGTGGAACTGTGTGGCACTGTCCCCTGCTGGTACACAGTGCCCTGAGTGTGAAAGCAGTCGTTGAGCAGGCTCCCGGCGGCGTTTTCAAATTCGTTTTCGATGAAATGCGGTCCGTTATTCGGAAGTGACACCTGCATCGCCGAGAGCGCCGTGGTGATTTGACCGCTTCAGAGGGCAGTCGGTAACTGCGTCCATTCGCTCCATATCCGCAGGGGAGAGGTGTGCTTGTATGGGAGGCGTGTGGCGGCCCGTCGTGTGGTGGTTTGCAAACTGCAGGTAATAGAGGAGATGGACAGTCCGGTTCCATCTGGAAGTTCTTCACAAGAGCGGGAAGACATGCTCTTCTTCTTTGTTTTCGCCATAACCCAGTGGGTGCACAGGCGCAATGCGGCGGCCATGGCCGTCCTCGAGGCTGTCGCATTCACCCCGTTCCTGTTCGGAGACGCGACGACGTCATTGCCACTCCTTGCAGGCGGGGTGATGCACGGATTCGCTCTCGCTAGTTTGGCTGCGGAGGAGTTGGGAAGACGCATGGAGCGGCGACGACGGATATGGGTCGTGGAACGAAGCGGGGGGGTGTGGAGGGATTTGCAGCGAGTTGCCCGTGAACACGACAAGGTGTTTGTTCGATTCTGCAGACTGCCTCGCCCGCTATTCTTCGAAGTGTTGGGTAGAATTGCACCCCATATCCAGCGAGCCCCAACGAACTTCAGGAATCCTATTCCTGGTGGTCAGAAGTTCACTATGGCTCTCATTAGGTGGGCGATCGGCGGGTATTACCGGCAGACCTCGCATGGCATGGGCATGGGCCTTGCGAGTGCCTTGCGTAGCAACGAAGAGGTCGCGGATGCTATCATCAGCGAGTATGGCCATCTCCTTCGGTGGCCGACTGACCGTTGAATGCAGGAAGTGGAAAACGCTTTCGAGGCGAAAGGGTTCGCCTGTTGCATCGGTGCAATTGATGGCACCCATTTGTACATCGACAAACCGAAGGGCATGCGCAGGTAATGCTACTACCATCACAAATGATAATTCTCTGTCCAGTGTCAGGTAGTTTGTGACCACGAGTGCAGAATCACCAGTGTTTACATGGGGTGCCCAGGGTCTGTGCATGACTCTAGAGTTTTGCGCATTTCGGAACTGTTCCGTCAGGTCTCGCAAGGGGCAGGTGTGTTCAGCGAGGGAGGTGCACACCTGCACGACGGCAGACACGTGGGACGGTATGTGCTTGGTGATCAAGGTTACCCTCTCCTGCCATGGATCATGACACCTGTCGGGAGGACGACTACTACAACTCAGGAATGAACCTACGACAACTGTCACTCGGCGGTGCGGTCTTGCATCGAGCACTGCTTCGGCCGACTGAAGGCCGTGTGGAGGAATTTCATCCGACCGCACATCAACAACATGAAAACCATTTGCAAGGAAGTGATGGCAATCTGCATCCTCCACAACCTGATGATCGAGCACAGGGTGGAATTTGACCCTGTTGTGCTCGATAGTAGCAGCGACAGCGATGGTGACGACGGTCATCGCAGACGCCGTCGTCGGCAGAGAGATCGTCCTCGTTTCGTTCGTCACATGCCCGACCTCAACATTGAGCTCGTGGTGGACGATGACCCAACAAACGGGTCCGCGCTAGGGGAGTTGGCTCGCAGGAGTCTCATCGAGCATGTGGACCACCACGTGGCGGTCCATGGTGCGCCGCCGCCATGTTCGTGGCGATAGTTGACGACGTGGACAACATGCCACATAGGATTTAGGGATAGCGGCAGGGAGTGGCAACAGGAGCGGGTCCGGGGTCGGGTCGGATTGGTGGTTCATAGGGTTCCTGGTTTGTGTGCGAGATTGTCATTGTTGCAGTCAAATTCAGTGATGGACAAAAACATTTCCACGTTCTCTCTCTCTCTCTCTCTCTCTCTCTCTCTCTCTCTCTCTCTCTCTCTCTCTCTCTCTCTCTCTCTCTCTCTCTCTCTCTCTCTC